ATTCCCACTGAGCCAGCCAGGTGCCCCTCATAAGTATTTTTTGTAAAAAAAAAAAAAAAAAAAAAAAATCACACACTTAGACCAAGTAAGTTCCTTTGTAGGATTCTAGTCTAATGAAACAATCAGAAATTCAGACAAAGATTAAGTACAGAATTATTTTTAAGATGGAAAAATTGGAATCAAGCTGCATGCCCAACAACAAAAGGATGTTCTTTTTTAATAAACAACACATGGTATAGTCATGTAACAAAATGTTATCTAGCAATTTAAAATGTTTTCAAATACCTAATGGTACTTGAAAATGTTTCAGATGTAAGGACACTTTCGAAAACCCAAGATGTAGCACTTTATATATAATAGAATCCCAATAAAAATATGTTATACACACATAAGAAAGCTGTAAGTAAATACATCAAAATGCTAACAGCTGTTATCTCTAGGTGTTGAGATTTTTATTCTCTCTCAGTACTTTTCTGTACTATCAATTCTCTACAATGACCATATGTTACGATTACAATCAGAAACTGCAACAAATGGTATTTCAAAAGTCCTTCTGAAAGCATAACATAAAGAAGGAAAAGTTGTCAACTTAATTAATTTATAGTTTGCAAGTGATGGAGAACACTCACCACTTGTTTCTGTAGCAGGCACTGGAATCCACTTATATTCTCAAGACAACTGCTTATCTGTCTCCCTCACTGAAAGAAGGGGATATGGAGTAAAGACAACAGTCTCCGGGAACAGATGTCCGAAGGGAGAGAAGACAAGAATCAGGATAAAGGAAAAGGAAAATTTTACTGACAGTCCTTAGTCTAACTACATTCTCATTTAGGACTCTGAGACTAAAAACGTTTCTCCTTGTACAATCTGATACATCAATGGATCAACATAACACCATTAATATTTATGAGGGTTATTTTTTTTTTAACAGAAAAGGCTTTCCTTCAAGAATTAAAAATTGTAATCATAAGGGAAATGTCTTACTCCTTTCTTGACGACACATGCTAGGATACTTGACCACCCAATCAAAGACCAGCCTTGCATGAGACAATACTAAGGAATCTTAGGCATCCATATTTATTTTGTATTGGTCACTGGTCAACTTTGAATCGGTCAGCATGACAGACTGCTAAAACAGATAATTCTAGTATACTACTTGCTAGCTGAATACCCGCCCAGAACACAAATTTCTTCATGTGACAATCAGCATGGAAAATGATCCCTTGGTGGTTGCTGGGCAAACAAAAACGAAGTGGGGGTCACATTAGGTAAACCAAGATTTTTCTCCTAGCTCCATGGGAGGTCATGACTCGAGCATTCCCAAACTCAGAGCAGGCAGTTAGACTTGATGAGGTTAATTCTCTAAATTTAAAAGGGCAAGTTCAAAACCGAGAGATTTCACAGGTTGATGCACTATCTCTAACTTACCACACCTCTGCCCAGGGCTAGACATGCCAACTAACACACTGGATGGTCACCCTATACAATGTAATTTGAAAGATATTTTAAGGATTATGCATCCAAATCTCCCCCTCCTCCCAAACAGGCTGTCGTGAAGCCAGATATACCATCACCTGCTAGGACATTTACATTATAGCTGCACTGAGGCACTAATTGGGAGGGAGAGCAAGGAGTTAGCAGAGATGAGTTTACCTAATTCAAACCTATCCTTTGGCACTTAGCAAAAGAATGCAGAAACTGAGAACAAACATGGAAAGAGATATTTTAAGGATCCTGTGAAGTGAGAGGAGGAGAGTTACTCAAATAAAGAATAGGTGGGGGGGGGGGGCGCCTGGGTGGCTCCGTCGGTTAAGTGTCTGCCTTCAGCTCAGGTCATGATCCCAGGGTCCTGGGATCGAGCCCAACATCGGGCTCCCTGCTCAGCGGGGAGCCTGCTTCTCCCCCTCCCTCTGTCGCTCCCCCTGCTTGTGCTCTCTTGCTCTCTGTCAAATAAATAAAATCTTAATAAAAAAAAAAAAGAATAGGAGGAAGAGCCCTAAAGACAGATTTTGCCTACATTAATTCAACAGACATTTATCAAGCCAGGCACTGGGTCAGTGCTGTAAATACAAGGAAAGAGGCCTTCCCTTAGATTTCGTGGTCTAGTGGGGAAAATATGTGAATTAAAAAGTATAGTCAAGGGGCGCCTGGCTGGCTCAGTCGTTGAGCGTCTGCCTCTGGCTTGGGTCGTGATCCCAGGGTCCTGGGATCGAGCCCTGCGTCAGGCTCCCTGCTCCGCTGGAAGCCTGCTTCTCCCTCTCCCACTCCCCCTGCTTGTGTTCCCTTTCTCACTGTGTCTCTCTCTGCCAAATAAATAAATAAAATCTTAAAAAAAAAAAAAAAGTATAGTCAAGGGGCGCCTGGCTGGCTCAGTCGCTACAGCATGTGATTCTTGATCTTGGGGTCGTGAGTTCAAGTCCCCGTTGGGTGTAGAGATTACTTAAAAAAAAAAAAGTATAGTCAAATCCTACATTCTAGGAAAGCTCTGGCAGACAGCTCAGTCTCTTCATCTTTCAACATTTAGTCGCTCTATCATGTACCTGGAACTTCGTTAGAAAATAGAGACACAAAGCCCAATGAGGTAAAATCGAGCCCCTAAAGGAACTTCCTATACCTAGTTGGGGAAATAGATAAATTACCAATGGCAACACAGTGCTCTGAGAGGTAGGTGTAAGATGCTATGGAAATGCGGAGATGGAACCATTTGGTCTGCCTAGAAGGGCTGGAGAAATCATCTCCAAAGAAATGACATTTGATGCGGGATGTGAAGAATGGTTGGGGATTTGCTAGTTTACAAAGGAACATGACAGCAGAACTCACAGGGGACAAAGGGGAAATGAGAAGAGGTACTATCTACCGACACTACTGTATATTATATTAGACGCTTCGTTCAATAGGAATTATTTGAGCACACGCTTTATACCGAGCACTGTGCTGAAGTACGAATTCTCTGAATTTTCATAAGAGGATACAAAGGCATACGGAGACTAAGTGATTTTCCCAAAGCCACACAGATAGTAAGAGGCAGATTCAAACCAAGTTCTGACTCTCTCCTAAACACGCGTGTTTTCCATTCCACTCCCCCAAACTGGATTGTATAGGTATACAGGCATATTTGGGAAATGATAAAATTTCTGGTTTGGCTAGAATAGAAGGGAATGTGGGGAGGGGGTGGAAGGGACAGCAGAAAATTTGTGGACTGTTTCACTAATTTGCATGTTAAGGTTTACGTATCGGATCATTTGCATTTGATTTTAGGAGAAGGAGAAATCATTCCTTTTTTATGCCTTTCCAAGATGGTCCTGGAACAGGTACAATGATAACTTTTTAAAGTTTTTAGAAACTTATGACCCCACAATGTTGAGAGGGAAGAAAATCCAAGAAGGAATTACAATTGATTCTCAGTGCAGCCATTTTTTACTTGCAATTACTTTAAAATATCATGAATATTTATTGCTCAGCTTTCCAGACAATAAGCCAGAACCCAAGCAATGATGAGAGAACAGCAATCTGAAGCAAATATGGAGAAAAGTACCAAATAAAAATGGCAACCTTGACGTTGCATCATCCCTGTATTGTGTTTACATATCCTGAAAAACATTGCCAAGATCTGCATATACCTTGAAAACTCGTTTTTCACAAAATTACATCTCATTAAATGATCTAAAGATAGGTTAAGTAGTACTACAAAATAAAAGAAAATGTTTGGCAACAAAGATTGAGTTGCTGATAATACACTATATGTTAATTAATTGATTTTAAATAATTTTTTTTAAAAAAGATTGAGTTGCTGAGTGGTGCAAACCTGTAGCCTTCAGGGCAGTAATTGAAATGACCGATCTTAGGGATCACAGAGAAGAATTGTACCCGGCACTGAGGTTTAAGATGTTGGCTTTACGTTTGTAGACATTAAATGTTTAAGCATACATTTCACTTCTGTGGAGCACCAAAGCATTATAATTAATTTAAGGGCTTTTAATTGGAATAACCGAAAACAGAGAAATTAGCTCTGAGCACTGCACTTTCATTTTAGATAAAGTAATTGGAAAAAAAAAAAACAACCCTACTAATGGTTATGCATTTCTTGAATTTATATAATATTTCATGCTTTCACACACATCATATACATGTTATAAATTATGCACCAATTTCCTTTTTAGAAACTGAATTTGTATTTCTAATTATTTATAAAATGCTCAGAGACATTTGGGAAAAATGATACTACTACTGATAAGCACTCAATTAGCCCAATATTCTGACCTGCACTTTGGAGGCTGAGCTGTTCCATCCTTCAGAGAATTTTCTTTTCTCCACAGACACACAAAAAAACTGGGTTGATATAAATATTAATGGCAGTATTGATTCATTTTTTAAAAATTTATATTTGGTTCAAAATGGAAAATAAAGCATAGGAAAGACCTTAATGTTCTGAGTCATTTCTGGTAAAAAGAATGATGTATATTACTACTTTAAATATCCCAAGACAACTTTTAAAGAAGAAATCAGCCCGAACAAGCGGTTCTAGTCTTGCACATCCATTCTGTGCATCTGGGGAGCTCCAACACATAATCATATGTTGCTGGCAGGTCGGAGAGGCTGGTATTCATATTTGGGTTGAAAGGAAGTACTTCCAATTTTTTTTTGCAATCTGTTACCTACACCTCTCTCCTTGGGGTATTCTGCTCTGCTGAGTTACTATTCAGGTTGCCTTTCCCTTATCTGGCCTTGTCAAACCCTCAGCTCAGATTAGGCCCTTCCTTCAAGCTGGAATTTTGCATTTCTCTTGGTTGCCAGAATTCCTGGTCTTGGTCAGTCCTGGCCCTGGTTTTGCTCTGTAAGGCGCAAGGCTCTGGAGATGCGCTTATACCCCACCGGCTATTGACTTCAGTCCGGACCCTCTCGTTGACTTCCCCGGTCCAGGAACCCCACAGCGGGAAGGGACCCCACGCTGCTCCATGGCACGAGTTATGGCAATGCCGAGCACATCTGCAAATCCACACTTAAAAGCAGAATTACATAGAAATAAAATTATAATCCACAAAATGCCACCCTAGCTCTTCCGTCCGGGTTGCCGCCATGCCATCCACACTCAGGAAGACCCGGAATCACCGGGGCCGCGGGAGCCCTGGCCGCGGCCCGGTGCACAAGCACCCGAAGCACCCAGGAGGCCGGGGCCATGCTAGCGGCACGCATCACCGCAGGATCAGCTTCCACAAGTCTCACCCAGGCTACTCTGGAAGAGTTGGTCTGAGGCATCACGACCACGTAAAGAGGAACCAGAACTTCTGCCCAACTGTCAACCTTGATAAACTGGGGACCTTGGTCGGTGAGGAGACACGAGGAAATGCTGCCAAAAACAAGACTGGGGCAGCTCCTATCACTGAGGTGGTGCGATCGGGCCACTACAAAGTTTTGGGGAAGGGCAAGCTCCCCAAACAGCCTGTAATCATGAAGGCCAAATTCTTCAGTAGATGCGCTGAGGAGAAGATTTAAGGCGGGGCGGGGGGGGGGGGGTGCCCTGTGTCCTGGTAGCTTAAAGCCAAGCGGAGGGAGGTTCATTAAATGCTAACAAGTGCTTTGCTCTTCTAAAAAAGATGCTACCCTAACGTAACTTCTTTTTTTTTTAAAGATTTTATTTATTTATTTGACAGAGAGAGACAGTGAGAGAAGGAACACAAGCAGGGGGAGTGGGAGAGGGAGAAGCAGGCTTCCCGCGGAGCAGGGAGCCCGATGTGGGGCTCCATCCCAGAACCCCGGGATCATGACCTGAGCTGAAGGCAGACCCTTAACGACTGAGCCACCCAGGTGCCCCTACCCTAAAGTAACCTTATAAAAGGATTTTGAAAGAACCAAAAGATTAAGGCAAGTCATTTTGCTCCTGTGGACCTCAGTTTTACTAATCTGTAAAGTGAGGGAGATGGTCTATAATGTAAAAATTCTATGATATAGGGGCACCTGGGTGGCTCAGTTGGTTAAGCATCTCACTTCGGCTCAGGTCATGATCCCAGGGTCCTGGGATTGAGCCCCACCTCGGGCTCCCTGCTCAGCAGGGGGCCTGCTTCTCCCTCTGCCTGCTGCCCCTCCTGCTTGTGTTTTCTCTCTCTCACTGTCAAATAAATAAAATCCTTTTTAAAAATTCAATCATATTAATTATCAAATTATCTTGCTATTTAAATTTGATACTTCAAGAGGCCCTATGTTAAATAAAATTAAAATGTTGGCTACATGCTACGGGTGGGTTTTTTTTTAAGGATTTATTTATTTATTTTAGAGGGAAGGAGATTGCGAGAAGGGGAGGGGCAGAGGGAGAGAGAAACCCAAGTAGACCCCTCACTGAGCACGGAGCCAGACACAGAGCTCGATCTCAGGATTCTGAGATCACGACCTGAGCCAAAACCAAGAGTCGGGTGCTTACCGGCCCTGCCACCCAGGCGCCCCTATGCTATGGGTGTTTTTATCAACACTTATTTTAGAATATATTTCAGCTGCTAAAAACTACCCCCCACCCCCCACTCCATAAACACAATGATTTATGTGACCTGTAATTCAGAGTTCATCAGGTAAGACAACTTGGGCTGTTAATAGTGTATTTGGGGGAAAATTTGAGAAATTATGCCTCTGTCTACATCTCGCCTAGCAGATAAACTGAAAATCTGGTGTTTCGTATTTGTAACAAACAAGTGGTTTGGTAAACTTTTCACTAAAATTATCCTATATTTTAAAACCCTGTAGAATATAGACTCGAAATAAAACACCCTTTGCTTCCAGTCTTCATAATACTAAAACATCTTTATTATTAATCCTAGACATCACCTACAAATATTACAAAAGAGGAAGATAGAATGATATTCTTCCTGCAGCCATTGGCATACTTTGCTATTACATGGATCCACTGACTTACTCTTCAAACTTGACAGTGCCATTTGGTGGAAAGAAGACACCATGTATAGAATTATGAAAATAAATGCAAGCTATTATATACACCTAACATTAGATTAAGCATTACTGTAATAAACATGCCTGCTTACCCTAATGGGCTAACCACTTTTCCATGGCAGTGAGAAGAAGTGAAACACTCAGCAGTGTTCCTGTGTTTTATTTCTTGGGATAAAGTAGTGAACATTGCCTGTAAGACCCTATGGTTCTGATCACAGGCTGCAGAGATAGAATACTGTCTTCCCCACTCCCACACCCCACCCCGCGCCTGCATTACAAGCCAAATGACCTTACGTAAAAGTTTACTTATTCTGTAAGCCTTAGCTTTCTCATCTGAAAATGGGGATAATAATATGTCCATTCATGGAATAGTTATTAGCATTAAATGATGCAATATACATCAAGTTCCTAGTACAAGTCCTGCCACATTGAAGAGCTCAATAAGGGATCATTGTAGATGTTGTCATTTTTTTTTCCCTCGGTGAAATTTTGTCATCGTGATTATATTCAAATTTGAAAGTTGAAAAAGAAATGAGAGTAGAATGTAACCATTTGTTTATTGCTTGGTATTAAAGATTGTGAAGACCTAAGACTGTAACAAGGGAAGGGTGCTAATTTCTATCTTAATCTAGTTTCATATCCCCAGTTGTGAACCAGCTCTTTTTTTTTTTAAGATTTTATTTATTTATTTATTTATTTGAGAGAGAGGGAGAGAGCGAGTGGGAGGAACAGACGGAGAGGAACAAGCAGACTCCACACTAAGCGCAGAGCCCGACATGGGGCTCGATCCCACGACCCTGAGATCACAATCTGAGCAGAAAGCAAGGGTCCGACACACAACCAACTAAGCCACCCAGGTGCCCCATGAACTAACTCTTACTTAAATATCCGTTTAAGAACACAAATACATCCAGATGCCAAATCCATATTGGAGCAAACACAGGAACCTAGACAGGGGTCCATCAGCAAACTACAACAGCCAACCCAATCTACTGCTGCTTGTTCTCGTAAATAAAGTTTTATTGGCACACCACCATGCCCATTTGTTTATTTAATGTCTGTGGCTCCTTTTGTACTACAATAGCAGAGTCGAGTAGGAACTATATGCCAAAAATATTTACTAACTGGCCCTTTATAGATAATGAATGTTTGCTGACGCCTGAGCTAGAATATTCCTTAAGAGGCTGATCTCATTTCACATGATGTCCTTTCCAGAGGACTCCCAAATATTTCAAACTTTTTTAAAAGCTTAGTTAAGTTTAGTTAGTTATAGGCCTACTCCATTCCATCCACTAAATGAGATGTATCTTCCTATAATGTTGCCCAATTTGTGAACAAGAATGCTTCTTTGAATGGATAGCTTGACATTCTGTTTACACCCTTGTCTGGGTGACCCTATGGCATTGATAAACAAACAGTGAAAGCATTCTTGGTTCTGAATTATCAGAGATGTTTGTTGATTCAAAATGAAACTTCTGTGACACTTTCTAAGGAACCTCTTGGTTATTTAGACCAGATCTCCTAACTGCAATTTGTTTTAAAAACCTTGGCACGATTTAAATCTTTAAACCAATACAGTTATGTAATTAAACTTTTCCAAAAGTATCAAAAAGAAATACATCATCTTTTGCTATCTGTGTTCTGATTCTGGCTTATTTGATTTGTTTAAAATGTTTTTGCAACATTGAAATCTCTTTTGTGGTATATCAAAGCACTTTGTCCTTCTTTCGATGACAGTGGCAAACAAGGGCTCACACTTGACCGGGAGGTAGAATCCTTTATATTCCAAAACGCTTTTGATTTCGGAGTGTAGTTTGTCTCTTGCAATACAGATCCTTATAATAAGTGTTTTCTGCCCTGACACGTCATATCCTCGTTAGTATGGTTTTGCTGTCTTTAAGCAGCCTAATTGTGTCAATCTTCTTTTTTTTTTTTAAGATTTTATTTATTTGACAGAGAGAGACACAGCTAGAGAGGGAACACAAGCAGGGGGAGTGGGAGAGGGAGAAGCAGGCTTCCCGCCGAGCAGGGAGCCTGATGCGGGGCTCGATCCCAGGACCCCGGGATCATGACCTGAGCCGAAGGCAGATGCTTAACGACTGAGCCACCCAGGCGCCCCATCAATCTCTTTTTTAATACCAGCTTTATTGAGATATAATTACAGTACCATTCAATTCACCTGCTTAAATAGTACAGATCAATGGTTTTTAGTGTATTTACAGAGTTGTACAACCATTATTGCAATCTATTTTAGAACATTTTCATGAACCCAAGAAGGAACCCCATTAACCCCATTTTCCTCCATGGATGTCTCTATGGATGTTCCCTTCTTGTACATTTCATATAAATGGAATCACATGAATATGTGGTCTCATAACTGGATTCTTTCATTTAGCATGTTCTCAAAGTTCATCCATCTTGCAACACTGTCCATCTCTTTTCAAAGTCATATTTTGCATATTTAGTAGACACAGACTCAAATATTTATAGCATTTTAAAATCTAATTATATTTTCTCTCTCTCTCTCACACACACACACACACACACACAGCCACACACACAAACATATACACACGCACTTGCACACAGAGACAGACACTCCTAAATTCACCAAAATCTAGCCTAACATTTGAGAATCAAACAACCAAACATAATAGGCTAGACATTATTTATCTGCTTCTCCCTCTGACCCTCCCCCCCATGCTCTCTCTCTCTCTCTCTCTCAAATAAATAAATAAATAATCTTTATTCTGAAAGTTCTCTTGTATATCTTTAACAGACCCTTCTCATAGGAAACCTTCAGTATTTGAAATTATATTCTGATGCAGGTTTAGTTTGAATGTTTCATCCAAAAGAATGCTCTTCCAACCGAGACACACAAAATAGTGAAGTCAAGATATGTATGTGAGCTAGTGCACCCACCTACCTTGTCCTGTAATTTACAGGCATGTTCATTTTCCCTCCAAAACCAAAATGTGACATGTTTGCTTGTTATGTAAACTTCACGGGAGGGCCTAACATGGTGATATCTACAACTGTCCAAACTACTGTAACCAAAAGCAAGACCTTCTGTAATGTGCAATTTTAAAGATTTTTTTTTTATTTATTTGAGAGAGAGACTGAGAGAGAGAGACCATGAGAAGAGGGAGGGTCAGAGGGAGAAGCAGACTCCCCGCTGAGCAGGGAGCCCGATGCGGGACTCGATCCCGGGACTCCGGGATCATGACCTGAGCTGAAGGCAGACGCTTAACCGACTGAGCCACCCAGGCGCCCTGTAATGTGCAATTTTAATCATTGTAAAACAAGATTCAGAAGACTGTTCTGTCTCTAAAAGAAGTATAACAAATATTTTATCTTTGAAGTGGATTAAATAGATGAGATGTCAAGCCACCTTCCCCGCCCCCCAACCCCCATGTTATCACTGGACCTTTATAATAGGCAAATTCAAACCTTTCGTTTTGCAGATGGGGAAGTGGAAGCCGGTAAAGGAAGCCCAATCCCAGAAACTCACCCAAAGCTGTTCTTTTGCTTTCCTCCTAGAAATGGAATGCCTTTCA